AACCAAGTGAACTTCTCATTATGTGCCTTAGCACAATGTGCACAAAATGTGATAATCTGAGCCTAGTCATTTGTACCTTGAGTCACAATTCTGAATTGATTTGTTCTATGATCTATTTGTTAGATTTCTTGGCTATCTGTGATATTTTCCAAAGTTCAAAAGCATTATAGAATATCATATAGTTTCCGTAGAGGGGAATATCATTGCTTGCACAATTCTGATCTTTTGAGTAAGCTACCTATCTTCATTTCTACCCTACCAATTGCTAATCTGTGGCATATTTTTTAAATCCCAGTTCCTTCACTAATGATCCCAAAGGTGCTTTTTCAGGAGGCAACTGGACTTTCTTGTTTTTTGTTTTGAAGGTGTTGCAGTTCTCATCCAAGAAGTTTCTTCAGCTCTGACAGGATAATGGGGAATGGAAGAATCTATCCTGTCGGAGCTGAATAAACTTCTTAGATGAGAAGCGAAATGTCTTCAGAAAAAAAAACAAGAAAGTCCAGTTGCCTCCTGAAAAAGCATCTTTGTGACGACCATGACCTGAATGACTGAGAATCTCTGCAGACTTCACTAGTGATAGTAACTTCAATATCTCTATAGACAATTCTAAGGTTGGTTGCTATGCTTGTTGTCAATAGTTTGTCTTCTTCTATATATTTAATCTTAGTCTCATTTTTATTGTTCTCATTAACTTCCATTATTAGAGCTTGCAGAAATTTGCATTTCCAGAAATAGAAGTGTCATAGTACATATTACTAATGTTTCTTCCTCCAGTTTTAAATCCATGCTTCCTAGATCCAGCATCTTGCAATATATATATATATTTATAATTTGAATAAAAAAGGAGAGATGGATGTACAATCAGGACCTAAAGTCACTCCAAACAATGAGATGAGGGGTATGCAAATTTAATAAATAAATTTAATAATAATAATAATAATAATAATAATAATAATAATAATAATAATATACATAGCTTTAACTTACTCCTATACCAACCTGGAGCCAATCTGGGATTTTAATTTTTCTAAGCATATTCTGCAACTTCACATCTTCAACAAAATCAAGGCCTTTCTGTAGTTGATGCAGCACAATATTGACTTTTTTTTTTTGTATTTTCTGGTTTTTTTTCTATCATGCATCAGCAATAATATATATTGTTTCTTGACCCTTTTCAATTTTTTAAAACAATTTAAATATCTGTCATCTCACTCTCCATGAAGTCTAATCTGCTGCAACCTTCTTTGGAAATAGATAACATGTGGATTAATAATATCTTATAATACTTTGCGCTCTCTATGAAGTCTTTCTTTGGTATTGGTATTTATGCTGATTTCTTTTAATCTCAGTATTTGATTAGAAGCTTTATTAATTGGTTGTCATAATTAAATAGTTATTCATCAGTTCCTGTAGCCTTCCATCTTTGTAGTTCTGAGATGACTTAATCTTCTAGTACTTGAGAGTCTTGCAAATAGGGGATATCTTAAAAGATATTTTAGATGTAGACATCTCTACCATAAACAACTTTCATATACTCCTTCCATCTTCATTTGATGTTCTTGAAATCAGTTACTATCTATGTATTAGCATTGATTCATGATTGGAGCAACTTTGGAGATATATTTGGAAGACTTTCCTTCCATTTCAGTGTCTTTACAGATGTTGGAATATTGTTCCTTTTCTCTTATAACACATCTTAAAAATGCTTTATTATATTTTTCCCTGCAGCCTTTATTATATTTTTCCATGCAGGTTCTCCTCTCTTCTTGGCAATTTCCACCATCTATGCTGACAACCAGTTTCTGTTTTCTGCTTCTTGGGTTTTGACTCCTTTCATATTTGTCCTTAAGAATTATATTATTTCATCCCATAGGTTTCTTTTCTTGTTTCCTTATCAGTGAGGTAAATAATTCAAAATAATTCTTAACATTCTCCTCCAAAATAGAGGATACATGCTCAAGATCATATTGTGGATACTGGTTGCTTTTGTCATTCTGCTTTAGCTTGATGTGGGAACTGAGCATAAACAGCTTATTATTTAAAATATTAATATCTTCCAATTCAATGGCTATCTGCTTGGGAAAATACCAGAGTATTTCAACTTTGATAAATATTTTTTTTAAAAGAGATTGATTTTTCACTCAGTGTTACAGTATGTTCCACAAATCTCTGTCTTCAAGCCCTTGCTTGTGGAATTAAAGTCCAATTAAAAGTCAGTGGAGTTGTTTTCTAAGTCAGGGGTGCAAAAAGTCTAGACTGAAGTCCAACATCCCTTCGGTGATGCCTAAAATTCCTAATTAGGCAGAACCACATTATTTGACCTCCATTTCCTCAAAGAAAATTTTTAAAGAATGTTGGGATTCAGCAATGAAGATACTGAAATAGGCTCAGGAGACCTGGATTCCAATCCAAACACACCTGTGAAGCTCACTAGATGGCTTTGGTTCAGTTGCTTCCTTTCTCAGTCCCGCCAACCTCATAGGGTTCCTGTTGTGAAAAATAGAATGGATAGGGGCAGGGGTGGGAAGCTACCAGTTCTGCCTGGCTCCATAGAACTGGTAGCTCTGAAGAGCAGCAGACACTGAACCGGTTCTGTATTCACTGTTGTTTGGCCCACCCACCTACCCGGGCTCTTACCTGTCCTTTATTTCCTGCTTTTTCAACCTCAGCTGCTTTGCGCAGCACAGCTGAGGTAGAAAAAGCAGGGGAAAAAAGGCTTTTCAAACTCTGTGCACCTGCACGCAGTGCTTTTCAGCTGTCTGGGAGGCACAGCTTAAGGGTAGTTACACGCATGCACAGCGTGTGTCTAGCACACGTGTGTACGAAGCACGCATGTGTGTGCAAAGCATAGTCACCGAACCGGTAGTAACACCAGTTGAATCCCACCCCTGGATAGGGGGGGGGGGGGGAAGGGAGGATAGAAGAATTGATTCCAAATTTGGAGGGAAAAAAATCTGTCCTTTTTCCTCTATCTAAATCACATTATCCAAGATTGAAGAACTGAATCTTGACTGATAATAGTTTTACGATATGGAAAACTTCGTAACAGTGAGAACAATTGACCAGTGGAATAGGTTGGCTTCAGAAGTTGTGGGTGCTTCATCACTGGAGCTTTTTAAGAAAAGACTGGACAGCCACTTGTCTAAATGGTATAGGGTCAACTGCCTGAGAAGGGGGTGAGACTAGAAGACCTCCAAAGTCCCTTCCAGCTCTATTCTGATTGATTGATTGACTAATGAAATCCATAAATTATAAATGTATGATCAGTATGACTTGTTTATAAAAAGAATGACTCTATATACAAAAAAAATTTGTTTATTGCCTACATATTATTTCTTTCTTTCCTTTTATCTAACATTTAACATTATGTTCATGAGAGAATGGATATGAACAATATTACAAGAATGGTTATATCTGAAGAACAGATAGAAAAATTCATACAAAATATTTAGATTTAGGAAAACCACATATAAAAAGGCATATATCAGGGAAATTGAGTACAAAATGTCTACAAATTTAGTGTACAAAAATTGTACATAACACAGTGCATATACAGTAAATATTATTGCACATTTTAAGTTGCACATATTTTAAAAAAATAAACAGATTCAAATTTCCCCAACTCATGATATCTTAATTTATATCCCGGAAACCCAACATACACAGAGAGACAGAGACAGAGATTGCCGGGGGGGGGGGGGGGGGGGGAAAAAAGAAGGGAAAAGGGAGAAAGGGGATTACAAACAGTCAAAATGTATAAAAGATGTGCAACTTAAAATGTGCAGTAATATTTACTGTATATGCACTGTGTTATGTACAATTTTTGTACACTAAATTTGTAGACATTTTGTACTCAATTTCCCTGATATATGCCTTTTTATATGTGGTTTTCCTAAATCTAAATATTTTGTATGAATTTTTCTATCTGTTCTTCAGATATAACCATTCTT